GCCGCTAAAAAGACAGGAGGAATTTAAGGCAGGGGCCAGGAAACCAATAGTACCCCAACTGCAAGTCTTTAAAAATCATAAATGACATCCTAAAGATTGTAAAATTAACTTAAAAATCACTTTTTTTTTTCTATAAATAAGAACTTTTTTTAAAGCTGCCTCTTTTTTGTTTGGAACCAATAGGCTATGAATAGACATTGCATTTGGCTCATGAGAAACTATTTTATCTTGGGATAATATGCAATCGTTGAGATGTCCATGTTTATTGCCCTGGAACAAACCCTAAGAAAAGTTCATAGGATAAACAGTGATAATAACACTTTGTCTCAGTACATTGTAAAGTGTGTCTTAACAGTTGTTCTGGGATTGCGTTCTTGAATCAATGGCATAAAAGCAGAAGTCCATTCACTAAACCCTGATTGGAAGGGTGATGTGTGCACATGCCAATCCCGAGACTTTTCTGTTTTGGGACAAATACAAGCAGAACTTGCTCCAGGACAAAGACAATGTCTGTTTCTAGCCTTCATGTTTCAAGCTTTTCTCCTGCAGATGAAAAATGATCCCAGGGCTCCAGAAGCAGAAGCCTGAGCGCTGTGCAATGCACTTGGAGGCTTTCATGCATGGCTGCTTCAAGCTGCCTGCTCTGCCTGATGGTGAGGACTGGATGTGCCAGAGCAGGGAAGAGTGGGCGCAGCTTATTTCCTTGTCTGGGCATCTTGGGCTCAGCAGGAGGGTCATAGAGTCAAGCCTGTAGATATGCTATAGGTCTAAGTGCCCCTTGGCCATACTGGCAGTAAGTGGTCTTTGCACAGGTGTGGGCATGGATCTGGAGTTGTAAGGTGTATGAAGAAATCCTCCTCTCTGTTTCTCTGTCCCTGGGCCTGAGACCTCCCATTCCTCCCCTCCCCCCCGTTGTGGTACAGAGACCCTTTGTCTGATGTTCCCATCCAGGTACCTGCCGGGCCTGTTTGGTGACGTCTTTTAAAAAGATTAGTCTGCCTCAACTAATGCCTACTGTTAGTTGGGACTTAGTGTTGAGGTCATAAAGGTTATAAAAGGAGCACTCCATCTTGGAGGAGGGAGGACATTTTTGGGATGCTGAAACAAGCACAAGGCCTCCAATGCTCCATCAGTCTCTGGATGAACGTGCGAGTAACTTACCTGAAATTTAGCCAGAAATTTAGGATTAAGTGAACTAGACGCATATCCAAAGGGCCAACAAGCCCATTCTGTTTTACTCAAGGCATTGTTTTTCCAATACTCTTCTATCGTGTACTCCTTCCCCCTTTTTCCTCTCTTGGATTAATAAAAGCTATCTGTTACAGCACACCTAGCTATGAATGCTTGAGAGGAGGGACAGGCCTTTACGCTCCTAATAGAGCTCAGTAGATTACTACCTGAAAACCTCCTGGGTAGCTCCAGGTTATAAAAAGCACCCAGAAATACTACCAGTGGGCAAAGCACCTCCAAGGTTAGCAGGGTCTGTGTACCCCGGGTGGCACAGAGCCCTAACAGAGACCAAAGCCCGGGTGGTGGCAGTGATCACTCCAAGCTTGCAGGTGTGCTCCAGGAATGGACAAGGGTGCCCCAGAGGAGATACCCAAAGCAGGGTTTTTATTGGGCACAATGATGCGGGTGGCTCAGCATAGTAGTGCTCCCTACTAGCCCACCACAAAGTGCACAGCCACTGCTTCCAACTAGGACCCTGTCCAGGGAGCCCCACTCCTCCCAAGCAGGCAGTGGGGAGGCAGGATCACAGAGCTTGGTGGCTGCAAGAGAGGGTGCTGCTTGTGCCCAGGTGGGGGTGGCATAGCAGGTGTGTTTTCTCTGTGCACCAGCCACCTTTAAAAGACATTAAGCATCAGCTTGTCTAGGGCTTTTCAGCTCAAGCTTTAGCAGTTTAGTTCCAGAGGTCTTGGTTGAATCCCTTGTGCCATCCATATACATCTGAGGCAGGACATGTATGACTTGGGCATTACAATTTCTATGCGACTTCCCTCTGTTGAATGGAGGTTCCCACCTGGTTTTATGGGGTCTCTTTAGTGACAGTCTGGGTGAGTTATTGGTCAGCACACTGATCTTATCCTTGTGCCGTAGTGGGTGTTACTATACTTTCTCATGGCGATCTTCAAAAAGCATCTTGACACCTCCCTTGCTGGGGTCAACTGATCCCAGTGGTCTTTCCTGCCCAAGTGCAGGAGGGCTGGACCTGATGATCTGTAAAGTCCCATCCAGTCCCTAAAAACTATGAAACCATGTGTTCTTGTAATATTTGACCTCCTCTCCCCGCCCCGGGCGTAACCCCCTAAATTCATTAGCTGCCTCAATTTCAGCTGAAAAGATGAGTAAGTACCTGGAGGTGCTGTGTGGGGAGCCCGTCTTGTTAGCAGATGTGGACAGTCCTGCCGGTGGATGCTAAATGAGCATCTCAGTGTTGTTGATGGGGCTGGTTATGCTCCTTCTTGGATGCAATGGAAATAAGCAATGCCTGAGCAGTGGGAATCTTGGATCTGAGGCACAGAGGACCTAGGGTCAGGCCTAAGCAGCCTCAAAGAGGAATCCCAGAGCAGCCAGAGGTACAGAGAAGACTTGCACTTTATCTTAATAAACCTAGAATATTTTTTGCTAGAGAAACCTGATAATGTGTACAAGTGCCCGTTGGTAATTTCTTAATCCAGCCAAATCTAAGGAAGGGAGTGAGGCTTGGACTGTGCAGCCTGTTTTAAATTGGGTTGGGAAAAGTAAGGGTTGCCTGATTTACTGTAGTGCCTTTAGTCGGAGATTGATTTGATATTCCAGTAATAATGACCCACTTTTGAGGACTGTTGTGAGGCTTAATTCATTAATGTTCAAGAAGCACTGTGAAAGCAGAAAGAGGTGAAGTCATTTGGCCAAGGTCATGTGTACAATCAGGCTTCTGCAGAGCAGTGAATAGAAGCTAGAAGTGAAATCTTGGATTCACTGAAGTCAATGGACATTTTGTCACTGATTTTCATGGAGCCAAAATCTCACCCCCCATTTCCTGCAACGCACCTTGTACCTTAACCACAAGATGACATTACCCCGTGCACACAAGTGTCAGTTTTTTGATGACAACTTGGTTGTAATCTTCATGTATACATATTTATACTTATGGTGGTGGTAGAGTGATATGATGGTCAAGGAAAGCTGTGAGATGCACGGGTTTTTGCGGGAGGTATCTTTTATTGGACCAGCTGTGTGCTTGGGATAGGTTCAGACAAACTTTCAGATGCAGCGACCTGAAGAAGAATGCACTGCATTTGAAAGCTTGTCTGAGTCTAAGCCAACCATGCAGTTGGTCTAATAAAAGATACCCCCACAAAAAACCTTGCCTCTTGCATATTTATATTTATGTATTTCCTTATTTATATCCAGTGCAGTTCAGTTGCTTTTGGGCCACTAATATGTGTGTATATATATTTATACACACACACACACACACACACACTATAGATACATATTAGTGGCCCAAAAGCAACTGATTTTTTGTTCCCAAGTTTGCCTTTTAAAGGTGGTAGGTGGATATATATTGATGCATATTTAGTATATATTGTATAAAATATTAAAATATATATGTTATATGTAAATATATATATTTATATAGATAATATTTTCTTTCTTTCTTTCTTTCCTTCTGTCAATATGTATTCACCTAACACCTTTGAAAGGCAAACTTGGGAACAAAAATTCATAAGCTGTCTGGACACTAGGAACCAAGGACTTAACACTGATTTTGGTCTTATGGTGCATTATAACCTACCTTATTCCTAAATTCTTCCCACACATGAAAGGTGATAATGACACTCCTCCCTTTTGATAGGCCTTGATCTCTCAGTATTGAACTTCTTTTCTTTTCTAATAGTTTATTTATCTGCTACCCCTGAGAATTTCTTCCCCCCAACACACTTCATAGTTCTATTAACTGTTTTTTTTTACTATCTCTGTGCTTGCTTTTCTCCTCAGACCTGAAGAATGTCTTGCATTGAAAAGTTGTCTAACTCTATCCCAACTACGCAATTAATCCAATAAATATATCACCCCAAAAATCTTTGTCTCTTGAATATTTTCACTGGTCTCTGGAGGCCTGAGGAAGGGTACTATGATATCCAAAAGCTTGCCAATGTCTATATCCACCATACTGTTGTGTTGGTGCAATAAAAGATACCACCCACAAGAATCGTTGGCTTCTGCCTGTCTCCTGAATTGTCATGCCAACAACATCATCTCAACACAACCTTTACTCATCCCTGAAATGCAACCAGTGCTGGTGTGGAACCTGATAGATATTCTTCATTTTACTAACTTTACCCCATGAATTTTGTTTTGAAGTTGGGTTCAGCTGGTGATAGCATAAAATCAAATAAGCACAAACTGCTGTATTTTCTCACAGGCACCATGCCCTGGAATATAATACATACCTTGTTTTGAAAGGCAGAATGAAGAAAAAAAGATTTTTTTCAGAGTTATGGCTGCATAGAACAGGGGCAGATCCTAATCTTCACCCTCCCTTTCTTGCAGAACTAAAGCTGAAACCCTAGCTGCTGCTGAAGACTGGTTTCTAGTGATGGATCTGTGAATTTGAAAAGAGTTAGAGTTTCCGAGGCTGTGAAATAGGAGGAGAGAGAGTAGGAGCAGCTGGCAAACAGACAAATTGCCCTATGAAAGGTTAGCTTGATTAGTGGAACAATAAGACCATTAAAAAAGAAAATAGGATTGTTAGCATCTCTGGAGTGAAGACCAAAGAACCATTAGGTCAACTGACTCTTTCCACTGCCTAAATAGTACAGGGCAGCAGGAACCAAAGCACAGCACTTCTATCCAAGGTATAAAATCAGCTTCCTTGCTTAATACATCCACTCTGATTTTGAGGAACTGATTTTGGGGAAAACATGATGTGTTGTATGCGAGAAAATATGGCGTTCTCTGAAAACACGAACAACATATAATGTGGAGAAGGAATCCATTTTTTTAAAGAAGACATGAAAGGAGATTACGTGTTGCTGGCGTTTATTGTGACTTTTCAGGGTGACAGTCAGGTAACGCCTATAACATATATTGCATCAGCAAATGTGGTTTTCCACCTTCTTATTCTCTTCTGTGATGATAACCCTTCATTGCTACGACTCCGGCTTCCTCTGCAGTCACTGTACACAGTGATTAATATTATTTGATACTTCTTGGATGTGCGAAAAACAACCAGTTTTTGTAAATGCCAAGCTCTCGTCTGAACTGAGCTGGGAATATTTTCTTCCGTTTGTCACATCTCATTTCCCCCTTGTCATGTTCAAGTTAATGAAAAATAAGCACTTCATTTCATTAAAAAAAAAATCATAGGGACAATGAAGTCAATGGAGCTACACCGAGATACACCAGCTGAATATCTGACTCATAATAACAGGTTGGTCTTAAATGAAACTTCTAAGAAAGTTGTAAAACTGAATCTCTTCCTGCTAGTGGTCGTTAAAGATCCCACAGCACTTTTTGCAAGAGGATTTACTCCTATCTCTGAATTTTGTCTTTCAAGCCCCTTCCAGCAGTGCCATTTTGGGGTGAAATTAGAACAAGTGCATATTAAGTGGAATTTTTCACATGCCTCTGCCATTTGTCATCATTAGATATGCTATGTATCACAGAATCATAGAAAATGAGGGTGTGAAAGGACCTCAGGAGGTCATATCTAGTCCAACCCACTGCTCAAAGACTCCACCACCTCTCTGGAGATAATGTTCCAGTCCTTCACTACCCTCCTAGTGAGAGTTTTTCCTAATATCTAACCTAAACTTCCCTTGCTGCAACTTGAGCCCATTGCTCCTTGTCCTGTCATCTGCCCCCACTGAGAACAGCCCAGCTCCATCCTCTTTGGAAACACCCTTCAGGGAGTTGAAGGCTGCTTTTAAATCCTGCCTCAGTCTTCTCTTCCGCAGACTAAATCAGCTCAGTTCCTTCAGCCTCCCCTCACCAGTCACGTCCTCCAGCCCCCTAACCATTTTCATCGCCTTCCTCTGGACTCTCTCCAACTTGTACACATACTTTTTGTAGCGGGGGGCGCAAAACTGGACACAGGACTCCAGATGTGCCCTCCTCAGTGCAGAATGGAGTGGATGTATTGCAATGTAGTTATATCGCATGTATAAAGCTATGTTCCAAATTGAACAGAGGACAGAAAATTCCTAAATGGAGATTGTATGTGCCTCCTAGTCGCTTTCCTAGTCAGTTCCTTTCGGTTCCAGCTCTTCTGCTTGTTCTCAGTTACATTTTCCTTCCAATCTCTATCCAAATCTGTTCCCTCAGCTGCCTCCTTTCCTCTGTACTCAAGACATGCACTGCCTCCTCTATGCCGGCCAAATCTAGTGAGAGCTCAGGAGAGATTTTCCATTCCACGACTGGCCTGCAACAGCTGGGGAAGTTCTTGTGAACTTTGCTATCCCTTGCCTGGTGCATGCTCAAAAGCTCTGTGGATGTCACTTGATAATTGGAAGGTGATGATTTGAAAAGGGAAAACATAGTGCCCATATTTAAGAAAGGGAAAAAAGAGGATCCAGGGAACTACAGACTAGTCAGCCTTACCTCAGTCCCTGGAAAAATCATGGAGCAGGTCCTTAAGGAATCCATTTCTAAGCACTTGGAGGAGAAGAAGGTGATTAGGAACAGTCAGCATGGATTCACCAGGGGCAAGACATACCTGACCAACCCGATTGCCTTCTACGATGAGATGACTGGCTCTGTGGATGTAGGGAGACCAGTGGATGGGATATAACTTGATTTTAGCAAAGGTTTTGATAAGGTCTCCCAAAACATTCTTGCAGGCAAGCTAAGGCAGTATGGACTGGATGAATGGACTGTAAAGGGGATAGAAGAAAATTGGCTGGAGAGTAGTAATCAATGGCTCAATGTCTAGTTGGCAGCAGGTATCAAGTGGAGTGTCCTAGGGATTGGTCCTGGGGCCAGTTTTATTCAATGTCTTCATCAGCAACCGAGAAGATGGCATAGAGTGCACCCTCAGCAAGTCTGCAGGTGATGGGCAGGTCATGTCAGACCAACCTGATTGCCTTTTACGATCAGGTCACAAAAGCATTGGATGCAGGTGTCGCCGTGGATGTAGTCTTTCTGGACTTCAGCAAGGCCTTTGACACTGTCTCCCACCCCATTCTCATTAAAAAACTAGGCGACTGTGGCATCGATGCCTACACGGTCAGATGGATTGCAAATTGGCTGAAGGGTCGTACTCAGAGGGTGGTGGTGGACGGGTCATATTCGACCTGGGGGGAAGTGGGCAGCGGAGTCCCCCAGGGCTCGGTCCTTGGGCCCGCGCTGTTCAATTTCTTTATCAGTGATTTGGACGACGGGGTGAAAAGCAACCTGTTTAAATTTGCTGATGATACCAAACTTTGGGGTGAGGTGGGCACGCTAGCAGGGAGGGAAAGACTGCAGCAAGACCTGGATAGGTTGCAGGGGTGGGCTAACAAAAACAGGATGCGTTTCAATACGGACAATTGCAGGGTGCTGCACTTGGGCTGTAGTAATCAGCAGCACACTTATAAGATGGGAAACTCCCTTCTTGAGAGCACGGAGGCAGAAAGGGATCTTGGAGTCATGAATGACTCCAAGATGAACATGGGCCGACAATGTGAGGTCACGGTCGGCAGGGCTAATCGAACCCTATCCTGCATCCACAGGTGCATCTCGAGTAGGGCCAAGGAGGTGATCCTCCTCCTCTACGCGACACTGGTCAGGCCACAGCTGGAGTATTGTGTCCAGTCCTGGGCACCTCACTTCAAGAGGGATGTGGACAACATTGAGAGGGTCCAGAGGAGGGCCACCCGCATGATCCGGGGACAGCAGGGCAGACCCTACAATGAGAAGCTATGGGACCTAAACCTGTTCAGCCTTCACAAGAGAAGGCTGAGGGGGGACCTTGTGACTGTCTATAAACTCACTAGCGGGGGGACCAGAAGGGTTTGGAGGAGACCTTGTTTCCCCTAGCGTGCCCCGGGATAACAAGGAATAACGCCCACAAGTTGTTGGAGAGTAGGTTTAGATTAGACATCCGTAAGAACTACTTCACAGTCAGGGCGGCTAGGATCTGGAACCAACTTCCAAGGGAAGTGGCGCTGGCTCCTACCCTGGGGGTCTTTAAGAAGAGGCTTGATGCCTACCTGGCTGGGGTCATTGGAGTCCAGTTTTCCTCCTGCCCAGGCAGGGGGTCGGACTTGAAGATCTATAAGGTCCCTTCCGACCTGACTTCTATGATTCTATGAAATCTCATGAGGTTCAACAAGGACAAGTGCAAAGTCCGGCACTTAGGATGGAGCAATCCCATGCACCGGGACAGGCTGGGGGGATGACTGGCTGGGCAGGAGGTCTGCAGAAAAGGACCTGGGGGTGATAGGGGGCAAGAAGCTGAACAGGAGCCAGCAGTGTGCCCTTGTTGCCAAGAAGGCTATCGGCCTCCTGGGCTGCATTGGTGGGAGCAGATAAAGGGCAGTGATTCTTCCCCTCTATTCAGCACTGGGGAGGCCACATCTGGAGTTCTGTGTCCAGTTTTGGCCCCTCACTACAGAAAGGAAGTGGACACATTGGAGAGAGTCCAGAGGAGGGCAATAAAAATGATTGAGGGGCTGGAGCACATGACTTATGTGGGAAGACTGAGGGAACTCGGCTTATTTAGTCTAGAGAAGACAAGACTGAAGGAGGATTGAATAGCAGCCTTCAACTACCTGAAGGAAGGTTTGAAAGGGGATGGAGCTGGACTGTTCTCAGTGGTGGCAGATGACAGAACAAGGAGCAATGGGCTCAAGTTGCAGCAAGGGAAGTTGAGGTTAGATATTAGGATTAATTTTCTCACTAGGAGGGCAGTAAAACACTGGAACAGACTACCCAGAGAGGTGGTGCAATCTCCATCCTTGCGGGTTTTCAAAACTGAGCTAGAGAAAGCCTTGGGTGGAACGATGTATTTGGGGCTGGTCCTGCTTTGAGCAGTGGGTTGGACTAGATGTGACCTTGTTAGGTCCCATCCAACCTTAACTTTTTGTGATTCTATGATTGAGCCACGGCAGCACAGCCCCGGCTGGCAAGGGGCCTGGAGAGTCAGCCTGCAAGCCCAAAGCTGCTCCCCCACAGCTCAACATGCTGTGGAGAGGCTGGCTGGGGCATGAAGGTGCTACAGTGCAGGGGCTAGCCATCAGGTAGCCCCTCCACTGTAGCACCCTTGTGCCCCAGTGAAACCCGGTCATGGTCTGCATGTGCACAGCAGTGGGGTAAATAACTCCATCATAGGATACTACTTGTGTTAGGCAGTACTATCCTAACAGAAGAGTTAATGAGTTTACTCTGGCCTAATAACACTGCATATGTAGATGGTGATGCTTTACTGCGGAGCTAACTATTCGGCTCTGCAGTAAAGTGTCTTATGTAGATGCACCCGGTGAGGGCAGAATGTGCAGATAATTTAGCCGTGAAGCTTCAATAAGTCTCTGAGCATAAGTAAAATGCGATTTATTTTAAAAAAATTATAACGTGGCTAAATTTGGGTAGATTTGCATGCGAAGAGCAAAAGGCAAACCTGTGTCCCAAAAGCCACCTGTCGGCTAAATCGAGTGTCCCTGTTTCAAAGCATGGGAGTACTTTGCATCAAAGCGCCACAAGAATTGTTTTTGCATGGCAGACCATCCTGTTTTCCCCTAGCCTTGATTCTGAATACTGCTCACTTGTTTAGCCAAAAACCTTCCAGTACAGTTCAGCCTGAAACAGAGATTTGGCATATATGATTTGCGTCCAAATGCTTAAAGTTTGGTGAAGTTAGAAGTAACCAAAAATCAGTCAGTTGGTCCCAAGGCTGCTGCGACCATTTGGGCACCTTAGATGCTGTAACAACTCTAGCTGAGTTGCTTTCATCATTGGAGTTTCTTCGGGCAGAGTGACCTGCTGGTGCCCATCTCCTCTCCAGGTATGGATGGCTGTTGGCTCACAGGGAGCTCATCTGCTCTTTGACAGGTCTCGTTTTTAGTCCTGCTGGGTGTCCACACATCCTTCTCAC